TCAAGTAAAGGTGCGACATATATTAAAGAAATAATACTTGACGGTTAAAAATCGTCAAGTATTAATCTTATACTTGACGGTTATTTGAAAACAACCGTCAAGTATATGAAGTAAATATGCACTTCCCAGCATAAATACTTGACGCTTGTTTCCTTATAACCGTCAAGTATTTACAAATACTTGACGCTTGTTTTGAAACAAGCGTCAAGTATTTTGATACTTGACGGTTATTTTGAAATAACCGTCAAGTATTAATGATATAATTTTTTTTATATGGTAGCTGCTTTTAAAGCAATCCCCTGCATAAAGATACAGATAAAGATAAAAAACAGCTAGCCAGCAACGAAAAAAATACAATATAATAAATGTTTGTAATAGTATCTCCTATTTAATTAACATAAAAATTCCTATACATTTAACCTTAAAATCTAAACTTATTTGTAAACTAATGTTTCAAAATTAAGTGGCCTATCCCATAAAAATTGGTCCAAAAATGTGTATATAAATGTAACTAACTATTGTACCGGTCTAACTACTGTTGCTACCCACATATTAAAAACACATTGGGCCACCTCTTCAAGGACCTCTTCTACATGTGCAGTCATATAACGAACGCAATAGACGTCCTCGAAGTACTGTAAGCAAATAGTTACAACAATTTCAAGTTAATAGGTAACTAATTAAAATTATTTAAAATTTATAATTGAAGTGTAATTAAATTTTATATATATACCTTGTTAGATAATGTGGTAGGGGCATGAGTAATAATGTCCTTCATGAACTTCATCAAGCAATAACCACAGTCATTGCTCTGATCTGGCTGGAATGGACACTATAAAAAAACACATATCAATGAAATTGCAAAATATAATGAGATAATTTCTTGATTAAAAACTCGACCAATTAAATGAATACCTTAACAGTGACCCATTTCTCTAAAGATTCGAATGCCCTCATCTTAAGGGACACAGTCATGTCGGTCGCAGTGCGATACAACACCACAGTCTAAGAAGGAATTATGGAATGAATGTGAGAAATATATATGAATGAAAACTAAAATTAAAAAGAAATAACAAGTAAAAAAATCTAACTTACTCATTAAAAAGTACCACCATATCTTCCCTGTTGCTTGGCTCTCCATTAAGGGGATCGAGATATTATATTTTTGGAGCAACGGGATTAACCACAATAAGCATCCAGTGTTCCCTAACAAGAAACAGCACATGTTACTAAACAAATAAATATAAAAAAATATTTACTCCTCATATCAACAAAAAATTTGGATGATCCCTTAATTCAATAATTAAGTACCCAAAAACTCAAAACTTCAAACACTCACTGAGAAGAACAACAATGCAGATCAAAATAAATAATAAAAAAATTATTTATTATGTATGAAAATCAAAATCAACAACCCATACATTCAAAATGAAGATTAACGATTGGGAAAGCAAGAACCTACCTCAACAAGAAGAGGGAACACCGACTGTGTAGAAAAACAGAGACGAGAGTCTGATGCAGAGTGATAGAGACCAAGAATCCCAACGAATGAGTGCCCACGAGACTTATGAAGGCCGAGAATCAAAAACCCCTTAAGAATCGAGACCGAACACGTGTTTTTTGGCAGTTAGAGTGATGAAAAATGGGTTTCGGTAGCTCTGAGTTTGTTTCTGAAGACGAAGGATTTGCAGAAATGGAGAGCGAAAAAGAAATCTGGAGGGAATTTAAATGACAATACTTGACGGTTATTTCATAATAACCGTCAAGTATTACATATTTAATGCTTGTTTTAAAACAACCGTCAAGTATATGGCAGACAAACTTGACGGTTATTTCAAAACAAGCGTCAAGTATGTAAATTTTGGCTTTTGTTTATTGAAGACCGACGTGTAAATTTTGGCTTTATATGACGGTTATTTATAAAAAACGTTAAATATATATACTTGACGGTTATCTTTAAATAACTGTCAAGTATTTACTTAAATATTTAACGCTTGTTTCGTAGAAACTGTCAAGTATTCTCCGCCTTTTTTATTTGTCGTTTTTTTAAATAAACGTTAATTATACATATTTCTGTAGTAGTGATGCATCAAGAAAAGAAAGTCAACATTGTAAAATGGGATGGGTATTTTGGGAATTTCATTGTGTAATACAAAATCCTGATCTGTCGGTGACTAATATTGTGGACCGGAAGGAGTACTTGCTGGAAAGAGAAAAAATGGTATCATGTGTTGTACACAATGCAGGACACTTCCAACATGCATCATGTATATTTCAATTTTTTTTCTAATCTCATGAAAAATTAACTTAATGTTTTATTTTTACCTTTATCCTAACGATCATAATTTTCCATTCAGAATTAATCAATACAAATTAATGAATTAAAAGAAAGTAATAGAAATATATTACTTATAGGTATAAATTGTCCGACATTCTAAACTTGCAGTAATAACTTAGCAAAAAATGTCCCGCATTATGAACGGGAGGTGGGATTTGCTTGCAAAGGCGTGAGCTTTCATGCAATTCCCTGTCCAGTTCAAAACTATAATTACTCATTTCAAATTATTTCTTTCTCTGGTGGTTAAAAAAAAATTATTTCTTTCTCTCATATCTGAGGGATAACATGAATTTAAAATTTAATTGAAGTGATGTACTCCTTTGATCTTATTCATAAAAAAGAGATCATTTATTTTGATTATATTTATAGGATACTTGAAGGACTATTGTATTTATATTTATCATTTTATGCCTATTAAATGTTAAGAAGGTTATTAAATGTTAGAATATTTTATTTTTAAAGTATATCTATTTATAAGACACTTCAATAATTATTGTATTTATATTTATTATTTTTGTACCTATTAAATGTTAAGAAAGTTATTAAATGTTAGAATATTTTATTATTAAAGCTATTTAATATAAATAAAATTAGAAATTTATTAAATTTTTAAATAAAATCAATAAAATTTAATATTTTTTAATTATGATGAAACATGACTTATAAATAAAGCAAGGAATATCTTATTTGGCCAAAAAAAAAATGATGTACCCTGATTTTAATAGTAAAGAACAAAGAGCTTACTCAGGTGTAGAAATGTTTACCAAGACATTTAGTTTACTGGCCCAAAAAAAAAAAAAAAAAAAAAGACATTAAGGTTTAAAATTTGCACCTCCATCCCAGACATAGGATATTAGGATCATGGGAGTTCACCCTTCCTCCTTTTTCTTCCTACTTCAAGAGTTAAATTTTAATTTAAACAATTTAGATAATAAAAAGTAGAAATATTATTTTATAAAATATATCGTCATTGCAGTACTGAAATGTTGAAATTAAATTTTAACAATTTAAATTTATTTATTTTATGATATATTAAATCTTAGTTATTAAAGTTGATATATAAAATGTGAGGGGGGAAAAAGGAAGAGGAGGAGGAGGAGGAGGAGGGAATCCAAATCCAAGGTCTAAAGTATAACGCATTGATAGATATTATGGTTTGCACTGAACTTCACGCAATGGGATGGCTATAGGGCCATTCATAGCTGATGAGACAGTTCGCTCCCAGTGAAATATAATAAAATAGGAAAAAAAATCTGAGAGGTGTGTAAGCTACTTTTTGCAAGGCATGACGTCTAAGCTACTGTTGGAGGCTAAATTAAATAATTGTTTAGCGATGTAGCAGCCACTTTGTTGGATATTAATTAGAGTTAGGCTTAAAGTGACAATCACTGAATATAAAGTTTGCTTCAATCCTTAGCCAAAGCTAACTGCACCCATTGCCACGCTCGCATCGTTATCTTATAATGTCCCTAATAATTTGATTGTAATTAAGGGCAATCCAATAGTAAAGGGTAATTTTTCTGTTTAATTACCTCTTGAGAGGAAAATGATTAAAAATGTCTTCATTCAATAATCACGTTTTTATGATAAGGCATTGTGGGGTTTTCCCCCCGTTAATCAAACCTAGCGAAGTGGGATCAAATGGTCCTGCAGGCCCTCCTAGATGATTATGACCCCGGAATTCAAAAAATGGGACGTTCGGATGATAAAAATTAAATAAAGTATTATTTATTCCATTTCAGACCCATTGGATTAGTCCTCTAACTAGAATTTCTAAATGTCACTAAGATATCATTAATATTTTTTCATTGGAATTTAAGTTAACCCACCACTACCACTAGAATTTTGTGACACTCAAAATCATCAAATATTATGGCATTGAATCATTCAGGATCCTTGGGGACAAATAACAGAAAATATCTGCATTCACACACACTCGCCAACGAAAAAAAAGGATAAAGCCTAACATATTGATGACAGTAGACCTAATGACGCATTGTTTTCTCGCATGAAAGCGAAAATGAAATTTGGCATTGCGGAGAATTTTAATATATTTTCCTGAAACTTTTTGACAAAATACCTATTCTTTTTTTTTTGGGAAAATTTCATGTTATTTTGTAAAAAAGTGTGATCTTGATACTTAGGAACGGATAGGCGAGAGGGAAGCAATGGCAATATCAGGCCTCAAATAGCCCAACATAGGATGGAGGGGGGGCCAGAGATGAAATTTAATGCAAAAGAAGTGAATTACACCGAAGATAATTACCCAAAAAGGAAAAAAAGTGAATTCCCAATCGGAAGCTGAGATTTTAATGCAAAGAATTTTGAAATTTCTTTTTTCTTATAGGAATGCTTGGACCACGTCTGTATACATCTCACATCGTAATTCACACAACATTAACAACGTAGACCAATTTGGTCTCTCCTTCGCAGAGTTTTGTAGATTTCACTAGAAACTCAAATAAATGCCCATGGACAACGTGGTCAATTGAACAGCTGAGATCTGTAAACTCCATTAGTAGTCTCCCTCCCTCTCTATCTGGTGTGATAACTTTTCGACCATAGTACAAACTGATGTTCTGTCTCTGTTGCTGAGATCTAATTAGCATATGTCAAATTTTCTCTTTGCTACTATTACCATTTTTCCGGGAAAGGCCAAAACTGACAGATGAAAAAGAGCTTATTTCCAATTAAACTACAGTCCAGTCTGACATGAGCGATCCCACTGCCAAAGGGATTAGATAGCTTGGTTTATGATTATTCGAATAATTTTTCACGTCACACGAGTCCCATAAAATAATTGGAGTACAGGCAAAATACAGTTAACCATACAAGACTCGCCCACAACGGTCACATGCACTAGGGGCCGCTGCAGAGACATCTTTTGGCTTCATCTTCTGCATCTTCGGTAGATCAATTTCCAGAACATCAGCCAGGGCATTCGAACCTACTTGGATCTCCTCCGAACTGCAAAACAATACAAGTCCAGTCCTTAGAACACAATAATGCTTTACGAACAATGGATGCAAAAGTCTGGTTCCCGAGAGTTCTTCCCAGCCCCAACAAAAGAAAAACTAGAAGAGCCACAGGGCTCATCTGTGCGTGTGTTTACTGCGCAATTTGATTTCCCTTCAATTTAAGTACACTGTTTCAGCTGTCTTAATTGCTTCCTTACCTCATGCAAAGTGGGGGAGTAAAGCGGACAATTGTATCATGAGTTGGCTTGGCAAGAACTCCTCTATCCTTCAGTTTTTGGCATAAATCATAGGCCGAAACAGGGGACAGATTTTTGCTGTAGAGTTCCACAGCATTGAACAAACCCCTTCCACGAACTTCCTTTATGTAGTTAGGGTACCGGTGTTGAACCTTAAGCAGCTGATCAGTAAGCTCCTTCCCCAGTTGGGCAGACCTGTTCGTAAAGAAAGGAGGTGGATCACAATACAAATAGGACACATCAGTTTAGAGGCATTGCATGTTTTTGTTTTATTTGCTGACAACACAAGCTTTTGTAATGTATTTGCTACCTCTCAGCAAGTCCCTCGTCTCTGATTACATCTAGTGAGGCAACTGCAATTGCACTGGCCAAGGGATTTCCTCCAAAGGTGCTGTCAACAAGAACATATAAGAAGTGTGTCAGTATGAGTTCCAGCTTTGTTCTACTTCCCACTCCACACTCAAAATTGGTTGTCTTGTGACACATGGAACTACTACTAAAAAATCACGTTAAAAGCACAAATGAAAAGAAAAACCCTCCCAACCTCAAAGACAATGGAAAAATTAAGAAAAATTACGAAATTGGGAACAACAAAAGTTTTTATAGAAGGAATCAAAATCCAACCAAAAAAAAAAAAAAAACAGAAGGCACCGTATTCCAATTCTATGCCTTATTGCATTTGCATTCATTTCACCAGAGAATGAGTAACAAGAACTACATGAATAGTTAAACCTCAAGGCCACAGTCATTCATTGTTCCCGGGGGGGAGGGGGACGAAAGCCAAAGTTTATTTGCTGGGAAATTACTCTCCTTTACAAGGACGAATAAACTTCAAAAGCAACCCTTCAGAAAAAGCCAGCTGCAGAAACACGTTTCTATCAGATCAGAAGTCCAGGCTGATATTTAGACTACCATATAAAAATAGGTGAACTTGATTAAATTGATACCAACATTATAACTTGCCCTCCCCTATGGCTGCATATATTGGTCCACATGACCACACTCACATAACCGCCCTGACCCAACTTCAATACAACCCCCTCAAGAACACTGACAGTAATGGTCCCAGATCCCCAGGCATGAATACCAAACATGGACTAATTATATGTTATTATTCCATGTTTCATCAGAAGGTGGACTTCTGTCTCTGCATTAGTAAACAAGCAGTGAAGAAAAAAGCAACATACAAAAGAATAGTGGTAAGAATGATATCAAACCTTCCATGTTCTCCAGGTTGAATGCAAAGCATTATGTCTTTGTCTGCAAGAACTGCACTAACAGGCATGACTCCTCCACCCAAAGCTTTCCCTAATATCTACATATAAATGCATGCAGAAGAGTTAGACTTTGTACAGAAGCACAAAAATGCAAAATCTTGTAAGGAACAAGAAAATATAGAAGGGACTTGGATCAAATCACACAGCTATTCATTTATAGAAAGGAAATGACTGAAAGCAAATTTTAAAATCGTAAAATTTTGAATGCCTCTATTCAAATACGTTCTATTTCATTCAAACCAGTGCATAAAATGGAAGTTTGGCTGGGGAAGTTGCCAGCACTTCTTTATCACATGACCATACATTACCAGGCAGACATTAAAAATTTTCCAGATTTACCACTTTACCTCATAGTGTCCAGACAGCATATAAAGATACAGGTACAGTTAAGGTGGAATGAGTTCTAACCACTACATCTGGGCGAACTTCTTCCCAGTCACAAGCCAACATTTTCCCTGTCCTTCCTAATCCAGTTTGTATTTCATCAGCTATCATCAGCACATTATATCTGGAGCAGAGATCTCTGACGGTTCTTAAATAGCCATCTGGAGGAATTATTACCTGCCAACAAACAGTATATGTTTGTCATAAATAACAAAAGAGGAACCACAGAAATTAAGCAAGCAATTGGGAGTTTAAATCCCCCTCCCAGGCCAAATATTATACAGATGCAAAGGTGAAGTCAGTTTGATATCTGAATCAATATGGTAATTGCTAAGACAGACAATAGAGGAAGGGAAAAGAAGAACCCAATAGTGACCATGTTACATGACAAATAGCATGAACAATGCATTAGGCAGGAAAATGGTAGGAAGGGGGGCATGATAGAGTGTGTTCTGTTCAAAATAGTATCCTACTTGCACTAAGCTTCATTCTCATTGTACGCGTTGCCAAACATTTCAATGGAATTTTTTCGTTACTTCTCTCTTCTCTGTTCCATCTGGTGCACCTAGCACTGGCCCACAGTATCAATATGCCAATTAAATCAACTGTATAGACAAAGCTAATACATAGAATATTAACCTTCCCACAAGATAGTTAGCTTTATATGAATCCCTTGTATGTATGGAGTAGAATATAATGTTTAAGCTATAAAGCAAGTCTGACATGATATATCAAGCAAAGGAAATTTTTAAAATTTGAACAGTCTTTTCCATAAAAGATGAGCTTGGTAAAGAAGGGATCAAGGAATGCGTCTATGATTTAATATCAATATAAAAGTTCATAAATTTGAAGCATTTTGCCATTCTGGACATAATATTTAATTAACCAAAGAAAGCACGAGAATATTCAACAATTGATACAAAAAATCAACTCATTGATCCTTTCTTTTAAGTTAAAAAACCAGAATGCCAGATTAGGAAGGGAAAAAGACTCTCATATGCTTCCATTGCATCTTATCATGTGTGCATTGTCAAACTGATCAAATATGTGTACTGAGAAAACCTACCCCAGCTTCACCTTGGATGGGTTCAAAAAGAAATCCAGCTATGCGTTCTCCATTTTCTGCACTTTGTCATGGATAAAATTCAAAAGGTGAGCTCCTCTAATCTTCCATGCTACACAAAAATTTAAAAAATATACAGAGCAACTTGAAACCTTTGAAGATCTTTTCAAGGGCATTTGCATCTCCAAAATCAACTTTAAGATGACCAGGCAATAAAGGACCAAAACCACGGGTAGCTTCATTGTCACAGCTCATAGATATAACAGCTAACGTGCGACCATGGAAGCAGCCACAGCATGAGACTATAATAGCCTGCAGTTAGTGTCAATAAGCAAAAGGACTCACGTGACATGATGCTATAAAAAAAAATAAAAGTAACTGCATTTTTCACAAAAAAGAATAACCAACGAGAAAGACGCAAACAGATAATGAAGTACAGAACAAGAGTCCGGAAATTTTTGTCAAAAAATAACTGCAAAACAAAATAAGAGATACATAAATGTAAAACTTAGACTCCAAGTATACTCAAATCTAATATCATTCAGATACAAAAAGCGGATGTCATTTTTTTCTAGATGATGATCTTGCAACATTTTTTTTTCCTATGCACAAGAGAATCATGTAATTAATCAAAAAGAAATAAACATCATAGCTAGCACGAGTTTCCAAAACCATGCTCTCAAACATCAAAATTATTTCATCTAAGATACCACAGGTATACTCAATATCCCTTCTTTTTTCAAACTGCACAACTTCTCCATCAAGGGTAGTGGTTTCAGATTCAATGTATCTTTCTGTTGTCCATATCTTTTATAGTTCACGCTCCACCGCACCTTACATATTTAATCAATGGAGAGGTCATTTTTGTTGCAATTTTGAGAATGTTTTTGTTCACCACTTATAGGGCATATGCAAAAACCTACATCATCACTTGCTACAGTCATCAATACATTTAAAATTTACAATTAGTTGCATACAAGTTAGTTATTAAATTAAATAAGTATACAAAAAATAGATTACTTTGAAAAATAATGGGCATTTCAAGAGAATATTTTATTTAGTCCCATAAAACTATACTAAAAACTTAAGCCTATCAAGATATTGCATAAGTTAGCATGGGTCTTACAGTTTATACATACCTCATCTTTGGGAATTCCTTTCTTCTCATAACCCCACTTTCTTGCTAACTTTAGAGCTGTTTCCACACCTTCAGCACCAGTATTCATAGGTAGCACCATATCATAACCAAACATGCTTGTTAGACGCTCAGCAAATACAGGAAAGCGGTCATTGTAGAAAGCCCGAGAACTTAGAGTCAGTCTTTCTGCCTGTTCTTGCAATGCTTTCAAAATTTTTGGATGGCAATGTCCCTAAATAAGTACGATATGCAATCAACACACTGGATGCCTTTAAAAGCAATAGCAAGAAAATGGAAGTATCAACGTCCACCAATTGCATTAAAGTAGAAACAAACCATCGTGTAAAAAATAATTTGAACTGATTTAAACTCTACCTTATTGGTTACCACACCATAAAGAAAAATAAACAACCTGTTCTGTCACCAAAAACCCAATTCAAGAGACTACAGAGGGACCTAGATAGAGACATTGTTACCTGATTAACTGCAGAGTAAGCCGATAAAAAATCAAGATATCTCTTTCCCTCCGGATCCCATACACACGATCCCTTTCCTTGTGAAAATACGACCGGAATGGGATGATAACTGTTCTAGAAACAGAACAAAGACAAGTGTCAACGATCAGCCCGCTGCAATGAATTGATTAGTTACAAGATTGCAACAACCAAAAGTGGAAAAGAAAAAACTGTTGAATCCTGGTAAATAACCTTAAAACGTGTCTTAACGAATGTACCAGTTAAGCTAAAGTTTTGAATCCACGATGTAGTACAAAAGAACAAGGTATCCTTGATGTTTAAAAGATAATGCGAGAGGGAACCTCTATACAACCTCCAGTTGTGAGATTACACCCCCGAAGCAATCGCACATATATCACCCTTTCATTCAGAATACAACCCCTGGGATTTTTCACCATTACCAATGCAAAGCATTTTAAGGATCGCCTCACTATAAGTAAGATCAACCTAAAATTTAAAGAAGCTTAGGAGGCACAAAATCCATGAATAACTAAAGTCCAAAACCTCAACTCAATTTCCAGACAAGAAATGATATTGTCACAGTTTAATGATAAAGTCGTGACGAAACTGAATAACACCGAGTAATTATAGCTGAGTATCTTGTTTAAAAGAAACTTGCAGCCACTCTCAACTAGCATTAAACTTTCCCTTCTGCGAAAAATAATTAACCCAAATCTTCACTTCATTAAATTGGGACAAAATAATAAGATATCAGATTATAACGAGAAGATAGCTGGAGACCCAGAAGCCAAAACTCGAAAAACGCCTGAAGCCTAATCCTTGAATAGTTCTCACACCTAAAATGACCTACTTGGGGTGGGCGGTTGGAAAGACAGAAAAAGAGAACCTTACTTGTGGGCACTAAATTCATATTCTTTATCGATGAGTTTCTGAGAAGAGGAAGAAGCGCTGCCTTCGGGAACAGCCCCAAAGAATCTACTTCCCCTGCAACCCCCCCGCAGCAGACACTGTAATTGTCTCCTGGCGGCCATTAATGATACAAAGGGAACTCAACTTCAACTTCGGAATTGGGATACTCTGCGTCCGCGGAATTCACAATTGCATCATGAAAAATGTAAATCCAGAAAGCAAACTTCAGCGATGTTCTAACAAACAAATGACGTTACGTCAGGCAATCTTATCTCAGTTGGGGAAAAAACCCTTTATTCCTCTCTCGTTGATCCGTTTCTCAGCCACCGTCGTTTTGTGATGCGGTGATACAACTCCCAAAGCATATCCATCCAAATCACTCAAGCAAGTCCCCATATTTATGCCAAACTGGCCTGTCAGACTTTGAGACGCAATTCTAATTTTGTAAGAGGTATTAATGTTCTTTTTTTTCTTCTTTTAATTAATGTAAAGACATGAAAAGATATCATATGACTACATAAAAATATTAGAAATGAATTAATCTGAATTATTACAATTTGATCCGAACAATTCCGAGAAGAAGGGGAGAAAATGTATTTTCTTCAATGATTCGTACAATGCACAGACCAGTGTTTCGAAATCATTTAAGACTTGAGTGTTGCGGATGTCGGTGGAAAAAATAAAAATAAAAATACTGCGCCATTAAACTTGCAATTTGCAAACTTGCCTCAATCCGAAAGTAACGTCATAATGATAATGTTAAGAACCTAATTTACGTAAATAAATAAATAAGGGCATAGACCCCCAGATTTATTTTGTTTTCTGGGGCCTAATATAGACCCCCAGATTAGTGAATTTTATTGAAGACACGAAAAAGGTTCCAACATGAAGCTGCGTGCACGATTGAATCACATAACGCGAAGAAAACAGGGCACCGAGACTGCTTTGACCTTCAAGCCCTTTGATGGCCTTCCCACGTTGGATTTCCATTTCTCATCCCTTTTATCTTTATTTATTGAGGAATTAATCTTTTAATCCTCATAATTTCACTCCTTGTAATTTTAAAGTTTTTAAATCAATCCTTATAATTTAGTCTGTTGTAGGAGTTACTCTCTACTGCGAGTTAGTCTTTACTGTTTGGATGGATTTAACTCCGTCAATTCTCTGATGATATATGGAGGAGGAATCATGCATTGCCCACGAGATGATACCAATGGCTGATCAAGCATAATAAAATACAGAAGTTTCTACTTTTAACTTACTATACTGAAATTTAACACACCCTTATCTGTAAAGTCTCGTGTTAAAGAAAGAAAAAGAAAAGAAAAGTATGTATCATTCTAAATTCTGTTATTAAGAATAAATTTTTGTCTTCTGACGACTCTCTATTTTATATTATTATTAACATGCTTTTGATTATATTTTGAGAGTTATTAATAAAAAAAAAAGAAACATTTTTTATTTTTATAAAGAAAATAAATAAGTAAATCATGTAAATTTATTGTAATATTTTTAAATTTTTTTTTTTAAATGATGAAAATTAAAGTAAACAAATAGTAGACTCATATTTATTACTTGTGAATAGGTAGGGTATGACAATATCAAAGCAAGAAAGAGAAAGAAGAAAAGAAAAATGTGCTTTTTAATCTAAAACACAAAAGCAAAATTTCATGCATATTGTCAAAATTTTTAAAATTGCTCACTAGTACCATGACACCAGACAAAAATGCAGAAATGCATAGTTTTATTTTCTATGAAATTACCTTACATAATTTGTTTTTCTAGATTGGAAGAGGTATCTTTTTGTGGCGGCAACCAAAGAAAACCTTAGGAGAGCAAGAGGAGAAGTCTTGAAGCTTGAAATCAAGAAGAAAGGGAAAAAATTTTCATTCTATATCATTTTTTCAGTGTTTCCTCTTCTTCTTTTACTCTATGCTAATAGTTTTGAATTTTTTTTGTGCTGTTTAGGAAGAAAAGATGAATTGAGAAGATGAATAATGTCAAGCCTTTAATAACGTGACTGGCATTTGTGTAATCATTATATAGTATAATCTATTACAGCAGAAAATAGCTGTACAGGGAAACTAATACACTATATGACAAATCTACAGAATATTCTATACACTAATTACATTATTAGAAAGTAATCATAGTTATGTTCTAACATCCCCCTCAAACAAGAAGGTGGAATTAATATCTCGAGTTTATGGCGGAAGAAAGAAAACTGAGTTCCTGACAATGCCTTGGTAAAAAATTAGCAATTTGTTGAGGAGAGGGTACATATCGAACATGCAAATCTCCAGCAATAACTTGGTCTCATACAAAATGAAGATCGATCTCAATATGTTTAGTTTGGGCATGCTGCACAGGATTAATAGCCATGGCACTGGCACTCACATTATTACACCAAATAACGGATGGTTTTCTCGACATTAACCTAGCTTAAACAATAATGGGTTGAGCCATTTGAGTTTTGCAGCACCATTAGCCAAGGCATGATATTCCGATTTGAAGCTAGATCAAGAAACAACATGTTGTTTACAAGATGACCAGGATACCAACGTGCCACCAAAATACACACAGAAATCACACGTGAACTTTAGATCATCAATGTTAATGGTCCAATCGACATCCGTAAAAGCAACCAGCTGAAGAAAGGACATAGGCTTGAGAAGTAGCCTATAGTTGAAAGTACCTTTGAGATACTGAAACACTCTCTTTACTGCTTGAAAATGGACATCTATCGGCTAGGCCATAAACTAACTCAGCTTGTTCACAGAATATGCAATATCAGGATGAGTTGTCATTAAATATTATAAAGCCCCAATGGCTTGTCTGTAGGAAGAAGGATCTAGCAGTAAAGCACCATCTGAAAGAGTTGACTGTTGACCAGTAACCATAAGAGTTGACATTGGTGCACAATCAAACATATTAAAATGAGTTAATAAGTCTAAGACATATTTACTTTGATTTAGAAACATGCCAGAATGATCATGAAAAATTTCAATGCCCAAGAAATAATAAAGAGAACCAAGATCTTTTAAAGAAAATAAAGAGTTAAGCTTTTTAATAAAAGTCTTAAGATATGCAAAATTGTTGCTAGTAACCAATATGTCATCCACTCAACACAAAAATAGTCAAGTTATGATGACAAAGAAAGAATATAGAGATATCACTCTTAGCATTTTAAAAACCCCATTGCAGCAAAGTACAACGCAACCGATCATACCAAGCTCAAGGAGCTTGTTTCAAACGGTAAAGAGCTTTGACAAGTTTGCACACATGATTGGGTCGTTAAGGATCAACAAAACCATCAGGTTGATGCATATAAACAATCTCTTAAAGATACCCGTTTAAAAAAGCATTGTTGATATCAAGCTAACGAACTTCTTGGTTAAAAGTGACTGCAATGGTTAAAACAAGATGAATAGTAGCAGCCCAATAAACGGATGATGAGGCTTAAAGACATCACTTTTATCTCAAGTAATCATTAGATGCATGTTGGTAATTGAACTTGAAGGAGAAATAGGATGAGAGTCGGTCATTGTAGGAGGTGATGAAGATAAAGTAGGAGCTGGATTGATCTGAGTAGCTAGGCTGATAGAAAAAATGGGCCACTCAACAAATTCATGGGATATTGATTGTGTAGGACTTATTGGTCCAATTAATGATATTGTTAGCAACAGCTCAGAGGTAGAAACATCAGATGACACAGAGGGCATTGAAAGATCAAAGAAAACTCGGTGATTACAAGAGTCTGTGATTATAAGAGGAATAGACGAATGATCTAAATTACTAGATCTACAATCCAAGAAACCTGAAACAAATGGGAAGACAAATGGATCAAACACAACATGATGTGAGATGTAAATGCGGCTAGTCAAACTAAGACATTTAAAACCTTTTTGTTGTGATGCATAACCTAGAAAAATACAGCGTTGACTATGAAATTGAAACATGTGTTCATTGTATGGCTTAAGGCAGGGATAACATGCACACCTAAATGGCTATAGAGTGGTGTAGTTTGACTCCATTTAAACAACTAAAATAGAGGCGTAGAATCATGAAGCTGAGTGTAGGTAACCTATTGATTAAGTAAACAGCAACTTGAAAAGTTTCAACCCAATAAGTCAGAGGCATATGAGCCTGGGCAAGCAAAGTCAAGCTCATTTCAACTATGTGGCGATGTTTCCTCTTAGCACGACCATTTTGAGATGATGTGTATGGATAGGTGAAACGTATATTAATACAATTAGCTTAGGCAATAGGAATAAATGGCTTGTATTTTGTACCACCAACACACTATATAGTTTTAATCTTACAATCAAATTGGTTTTCAATTAATGCACAAAAGTAATTAAAAGCGTTGATGGCTTCACCTTTATATTTCAGTGGATATAACCACGTATAATGACTAAAATCATCAATAAAATGAATATAATATTGATGCTCATGAATAGAACAAATGGGTGAGGGTCCCCATAGATCAGTACGGATGAGATTGAGGGGAGCAGATGCATGAGACAGAAATTTAGAAAATGGTAATGCCTTAAATTTATAACATTGACATGATTCACAAACAAACGTATCATCTATGGCAACTTTTTCATTACAATTATTCAAAACACAATGCAAAATCTTATTGCTTGGATGCCTAAGTTTGTAATGCCAATTTAAAAACTCAAAAAGATTAGCTTCAGGAATATAGTAAGTAAGATTCGCTTGAGGTGAACTACTTGGATGGTCTAGTAGATACAGCCCCTATCGTGGTTTCCTGTGCATTAGTAATTTTCTCGTTGCCTTGTCCTTTACAACACACCCAGTATTAGAAACAAGAACATCCATATAATTTTCTTTAACCAGACGAGAAAGACTCATGAGATTTTTGGTGGCAGATAGAATAATCAAAACATCATTGAGACAGATATCAGTAGAAGCACATGGAATACAAGTTGAGCCAGAACCATAAATAGGAGTTCGAGTACTAGTACAGGCGGCTAAAGAAGACATATCAGAGGAATCAATTCGGCTAAGTTGAGTAGAGTTAGGAGTCACGTGATAGTTGGCACCACTATCGAGGTACCATGTAGGATCCATAACAATAGAAGGTGACTCATAATACGCTTGAGGCAAGAATGAAGGAGGAGGATTGATGATTGAGGGTTGAAAATTATGATCAAACTTGTAAAAACAGTTAGCAACAACATGGCCATGACGATGGCATAAATCACAATATAGTCGCCTCCTACCAGAACCATCAAGATGTCCACGAGAGTGAAAACCATGAGTAGACTGAGAAGAGCGCCAGTTGGAATGTCGATCAGCATGCTAAGCAAGATTCACTGTTGGTTGAATACTGAGTGAAGAAAACTGAGAGTTGTTCTATGCGACTCTCATAAGAAAGCAAGAAAGCCTGAGCATCAATCCAA